AGCATCTAACTCACATATAAGTTGATTTACCTCCTCTCTGGATACAAGTGTTGTGTCCATAACAGGAATTTTTGGTCAGATTTCTTTTGATGCTGTCATTCTCAAATTGCCATTGAGCCTCCTCTCCCTCCTTATCCATGTATACTCGTTTCTGGTTCTTAGGCTCAGCTCCTTGTCTTTCTGATTTTTTTTCCTTCTATATTTTTTCCATGCCCTAGCACATTTGTCTTTGGCTCCTCTACACCTCTCAGTAAGCCATGGGCTCACTATGGTCTTCCATTGTTTCTACTGCCCCTGAGTATGAACCTCTCCTCTGACTTCATGCACTTTCTGGCACTGGTTCAGTCATCTCATTTACTGTCTTTCCCTCTAGTTTTCTTTCCTCCTGTATCTCATACAGGAACTGCTTCATGCCTGTGTAGTCCCCTCTTTTGAAAGTGAGTTTCTCCTTTCCCGTTCTGCTTCATTCTCTACTGTTAATTATACAAGTTATTCGAAAATCAGGACCATGTGATCACTAGCGTTGAGTGACCTCTTTGCAATATTCCATGCTGGAACCACTCAGAGTGAGTACTAGGTTCAGCCTTGCTAGTCATCCTCTTCTGTCTCTCTCTGGTTGTGTCCCTAACATGTTGGTTCATGAAGTTCTCCATTACCACCTCCAGTATTTTAGCCCTCCAAGATTTTGGTCAACTATGTGGTTCTAGATTTTCCCAGTTAACATCCTTGTGGTTATAATCCCTTATGATGAGTAACTTTCCCCTGCACATGTGTGTGTGTGTGTGTGTGTGTGTGTGTGTGTGTGTGTGTGTGTGTGTGTGTGTGTAGTGTGTGTGTGTGTGTGTATGTGTGTATGTGTGTGTGAGTGTGTGTGTGTGAGTGTGTGTGTGTGAGTGTGTGTGTGTGTAGTGTGTGTGTGTAGTGTGTGTGTAGTGTGTGTGTAGTGTGTGTGTAGTGTGTGTGTAGTGTGTGTGTATGTGTGTGTGTAGTGTGTGTGTAGTGTGTGTGTAGTGTGTGTGTAGTGTGTGGTAGTGTGTGTATGTGTAGTGTGTGTATAGTGTGTGTAGTGTGTGTGTGTGTTTGTGTGTGTGTGAGTCTGTGTGTCTGTATCTGAGTGTGTGTCTGTGTGTGTGTCTGTGTACTTTCCTCTATGTACTCACCTATACGTGGTTGCAGGGATCGATTCATGGCTCCTGGCCTCGCTTCTTCGCTGGTCGATACTAAGTCACTCTCTGACCGCTCCTAGAGCCTCATCATACCTCTTCTTAAAGCTATATATGGAACTTGCCTCCACTGCTTCACTCTCCAGATTATTCCACTTCCTGACAATTCTAAGGCTGGGATATCAACTTCCAATTGTGGCTCCTTGTTCCTGTGTACCATCTCTGAAATATTTGAGCTATGCCCACTTTGTCAATTCCTCTCAGTATATACGTCGTTACCATGTTCCCTGTATCCTTCCTATCCTCTGGTTTCATCAGGTTGAGTTCCCTTAACCTCTCCTCGTAAGACATACCCCTCAGTTCCGGGATTAGTCTTGACGTGTTTGACTAGGTATGGGTTCCATACCGGTGCAACATATTCCAGAATGGACCTGACGTACACGATGCACAGTGCCGTGGATGACTCCTTACTTAGATGTCGAAATGCTATTCTCAGGTTTGCAAAGCGCCCATATGCTGCAGCCGTTATTTAATTGATGTGCGCTAAGCTTAGGGGACATGCTCGGTATAATGTTTCTCCAAGATCTTTTTCTTTAAATGAAGTTTCCAGCCTTTGATCCCTTAACCCGTATTCCGTCTGCTGTCTTCATTTTCCTTCCCCAATCTTCACGACTTTGCACTTGCTGAGTTTAAACTCTAAGAGCCATTTGTCTGACCAGTCTTGCAGCCTATCCAGAACTTTTTGTATTCTTACCTGATCCTCGTCCGCTTGTCTTCACCTCATCAGTTTTACATCATCATCCACATATACAAAAAACAGCATCGGGCCTAGGAAAGACCCTTGTGGACACCCACTCGACACATACGCAGACTCAGACACTTCACGTACCAACACTCGATGATTCCTCCCTGTCATGTATTCTACCCATCCCTCTATCTCCTGCCTTACTTCTGTTACCTTATCTCTGAAGCCGTTCTGATTGTCATGTATGAGCCCAATCCTTTCAATGGGCTCCACCACTCTGTGTGTGTGTGTGTGTGTGTGTGTGTGTAGTCACCTAGGTGTGGTTGCAAAGGTCGAGTCACAGCTCCAGGCCACGCCTCTTCACTGGTCGCTACTAGATCACTCTTCCTGCTCCAAGAGCTTTATCATACCTCTTCTTAAAGCTACGTATGGATCCTGCTTCCACTACATCACTTCCCAGGCTATTTCACGTCCTGACAACTCTGAAGAAATACTTCCTAACATCCTTGTGATTCATCTAAGTCTTCAGGTTCCAATTGTGACCCCTTGCGTGTGTACTCACCTAATTGTGGTTGCAGGGATCGAGACTCAGCTCCTGGCCCCGCCTCTTCAATGATCACCACTAGGTCCTCTCTCTCTCTCTCTCTCTCTCTCTCTCTCTCTCTCTCTCTCTCTCTCTCTCTCTCTCTCTCTCTCTCTCTCTCTGCGTCCTGAGATTTGTCATACCTCGTCTTAAAGCTATGTATGGTTCCTGCCTCCACTACATCACTTGCTAGGCTATTCCACTTCCTGACGACTCTGTGACTGAAGAAGCACTTCCTAACATCCCTGTGACTCGTCTGAGTCTTCAGCTTCCAATTATGACCCCTTGTTTCTGTGTTTCGTCTCTGGAACATCCTGTGTCTGTCCACCTTGTCTATTCCACGCATTATTTTGCATGTTGTTATCATGTCTTCCATGACCCTCCTTTGCTCCAGTGTCGTCAGTCCGATTTCCCTCACCCTTTCCTCGTAGGACATTCCCCTTAGCTCCGGAACTAGCCTTATTGCAAACCTTTGCACTTTATTTAATTTCTTGACGTGCTTGACCAGGTGTGGGTTCCAAACTGGTGCTGCATACTCCAGAATGGGCCTGACGTACACAGTGTACAGTGTCTTGAACGATTCCTTAGTAAGGTATCGGAATGCTATTCTCAGATTTGCCAGGCTCCCATATGCTGCACCAGTTATCTGGTTGATGTGTGCCTCCGGAGACGTGCTCGGTGTTATGGTCACCCCAAGATCTTTCTCCTTGAGTGAGGTTTGCAGCCTTTGTCCACCTAGCCTATACTCTGTCTGCGATCTTCTTTGCCCTTCCCCAATCTTCATGACTTTGCATTTGGCAAGGTTGAAATCGAGAAGCCAGTTGCTGGACCACGTGTCCAGCCTATCCAGGTATCTTTGTAGTCCTGCCTGATCCTCATCTGATTTAATCCTTCTTATTAGCTTCATATCATCTGCGAACAGGGACACTTCAAAGTCTATCCCTTCCACCATGTCATTCACATATATCAAAAATAGCACTGGTTGTAGGACTGACCCCTGTAGTACCCCGTTTGTCACAGAAGCCCACTCTGATACCTCATCACGTACCATGATCCGTTGTTGCCTCCCTGTCAGGTATTCTCTGATCCATTGCAGTGCCCTTCCTGTTATACGTGCCTGATCCTCAAGCTTCTGCACTAATCTCCTGTGAGGAACTGTGTCGAAGGCCTTCCTGCAGTCCAGGAAAATGCAATAAACCCACCCCACTCTCTCGTTTCTTACTTCTGTTACCTTGTCATAAAACTCCAGAAGGTTTGTGACACAGAATTTGCCCTCCATGAATCCTTGCTGGTTGTTGTTTATAATCGTGTTCCTTTCCAGGTGCTCCACCAGTCTCCTCCTGATAATCTTCTCCATGACTTTTCATACTATACACGTCAGAGACACTGGTCTGTAGTTTAGTGCCTCTTTCCTGTCTCCTTTCTTAAAAATGGGGACTACATTTGCCGTCTTCCATACCTCAGGCAGTTGCCCAGTTTCAATGGATGTATTGAAGACTGTGGTTCGTGGCACACAGAACGTCTCTGCTCCTTCTCTAATGACCCACGGGGAGATGTCCGGACCCCTCGCCTTTGAGGTATCCAGGTCACTTAGCAGCTTCTGCACCTCCTCCTCCGTTGTTTGTATTTCATTCAGCACCTGTCGGTATGTTCCCTGTTGGTGTTTCCCTCTGTGCTGTCTTCTCGGAGGCATTCCTGTCTCTACTGTAAATACTTCCTTAAATCTCATGTTGAGCTCCTCGCATACCTAGTGATCGTTACTTGTGAGTTCCCCACCGTCTTTCCTCAGCCTGATCACCTGGTCTTTGACTGTGTGTGTGTGTGTGTGTGTGTGTGTGTGTGTGTGTGTGTGTGTGTGTGTGTGTGTGTGTGTGTGTGTGTGTGTGTGTGTGTGTGTGTGTGTGTGGGGGGGTGTGGGGAGTGTATGGGTGTGTGTGGGTGTGTGTGGGTGTGTGTGTGTGGGGGTGTGGGGGGTGTATGGGTGTGTGTGGGTGTGTGGGGGGGAGTGGGGGGTGTATGGGTGTGTGTGGGTGTGTGTGGGTGTGTGTGGGTGTGTGTGGGTGTGTGTGGGGGGGAGTGGGGGTGTATGGGTGTGTATGGGTGTGTGTGGGTGTGTGTGGGGGTGTGTGTAAAACAGGTTGCAACATCGAACAGAAAGGTCATTCATATAATGATTACAAAATCAACAATTTGTAAGCTAGAATAGACTCCAACGGGACTTAAATTGTCTAGTGACACTAGGTGTAGAATTTTAATGATTAAGGGAGAATGACATGTAAAATCAATTAATAATAAGCCTAAGAAAATGTATTTTTCTACTCTCTATAATATAATGCAGTTAAGTCAAGGGAAGTCTCATTTCAGTATCCAATGCTCAAGAGATATAGAGCGACAGGTCATGCAGGGATAGAGAGAGAGAGAGAGAGAGAGAGAGAGAGAGAGAGACAGAGAGAGAGAGACAGAGAAAGAGAGAGAGATGAAGAGGGTCAGGTAGTGAGGAATCACTCACGTCTTCCTGAGGATCATCCTGAGCATGGAGTCTGGAGCTCGCTGCTGGAGGAAAGCCAGGATGGGCGTGAGTCTCTCTTCAGCCTCTCGCTTCTCCGCTGGCGTGGGCGTGATGGGTGGCACCCCAGGGGCCGCAGCTGCATCCTCCAGGAACCGATAGAACAGGTATTTGTCCCGGAAAGGTTGTTCCCCCGTCACTGTGTGCCAAAACATTATATTATTATTATTTTTATTATTCGCAAATAAATAACAAAAAGGCACAATAACGTGACTGGAACGATACACAAATAACCCGCACATAAAAGAGAGAAGCTTACGACGACGTTTCGGTCCGACTTGGACCACTGACAAAGTCACACGCAGTGTGACTTTGTCAATGGTCCAAGTCGGACCGAAACGTCGTCGTAAGCTTCTCTCTTTTATGTGCGGGTTATTTGTGTATTATTCGCAATAAAGACTTAAACCTAAACTAAAAAATAAGGGAAATGAGCTTCCTCAGTTAGTAATGTTAGTAATGAATTAGTTGAACGTATTAATGACCTCTTGCCTACACATGGGGTCATTAATGTTAAATTTTCATGCTCTCTAATAACAACAATATTTTGGAAATAAAGAAATTAAGGTCAATTTTAAGTATTTACAGAAAGCGAAGCCTTATTGTATTTTTCTATATGTACGATGATGTTAAAAGAACCGTGGAACAAGATGGTTTTCTTTTATGGATTGATGTGAGTCAACAGATTTTCACGTTTTTAATTTTCCACCTTAAATTTACTTAGTAACATCCTTCAACTTTGTTAACATTAACTTAACATTATTTACCCTAAGTTTACCCATCTACTTTAGCTCAGCCTAAATTTAGTTAGTATTAGTCAACTGAATATTAGTCAGTAGAATGTACTTGTTTAGTAAGGTTAAAACTGATTTTGACGAAGTTATTGCACTAATATATTTGCACTCGGCATCTCTGACAAATTCATCATTACTTTGTATGACACGACGAGACTTTGTTACTGCATATATTAGCAGCCACCGTAACTAACCACTACAGCTGATTTAACACACAAGGGCATATTTACATAACACTCAGGCAACCATCACTAACGTAACATTCACTCACGTATAGCGTCAATAAAATTACAATCATTTTACACATGCGAACAAATACGAGTAACAAGCCAACCTTAAAATAGTGCTTCTCCTGTGACCAGGAGCTGTCTAACTCAATATTTGTAACTGTCTTGAAGCATTGTGTTGTATTTCATGAAGCGCTACGAGATCAATCGCTCTTGTAACTGACGTAGGAGAGAGAGGCTTACCAACACGTGCTGCGTTCTATAGTCTACATTGCCTCTGATTAATCATGATGCTCTACCCACACAGTCATGTCTGCCTCACCAGATTCAAGGAGCAAGATATCTCTGCACCTCATAACAACCCACTTATGGACGATCATTCAAGGAGTGAGATATCACTGCACATCATAACACACCCACTTATGGAGGATCACTCAAGGAGTGAGATATCACTGCACATCATAACACACCCACCTATGGAGGATCACTCAAGGAGTGAGATATCACTGCACATCATAACAACCCACTTATGGAGGATCACTCAAGGAGTGAGATATCACTGCACATCATAACACACCCACCTATGGAGGATCACTCAAGGAGTGAGATATCACTGCACATCATAACACACCCACCTATGGAGGATCACTCAAGGAGTGAGATATCACTGCACATCATAACAACCCACTTATGGAGGATCACTCAAGGAGTGAGATATCACTGCACATCATAACACACCCACCTATGGAGGATCACTCAAGGAGTGAGATATCACTACACATCATAACACACCCACCTATGGAGGATCACTCAAGGAGTGAGATATCACTACACATCATAACATCCACTAATGTTAGATCATTCAACGATAAACTCATCACAATACACCAAGGCACACCTGTCTCTTGTGAATTATCCATCATTTAACAAAGTGGGTAATTCTAATGTTTATCTGAAAGCATTTAAGGATAAGTTGACCATAGATCATAGTAAGGAGTTTGGAAGGAACGTTAAGGTAGGATATAACTAGGAGTAAGGAAGAGTGTATATAGGAGAAAGAAGACACAAAATGAGTGGCCCATCCACTAGGTGGCCTGGTGGCTAAAACTCTCGCTTCACACATGTAGGGCCCGCGGGGGTTCGATTCCCGGCGGGTGGAAACATTTCGACGCGTTTCCTTACACCTGTTGCCCTGTTCACCTTGCAGCAAATAGGTACCTGGGTGTTAGTCGACTGGTGTGGGTCGCATCCTGGGGAACAAGAGGACCCCAATGGAAATAAGTTAGACAGTCCTCGATGACGCACTGACTTTCTTGGGTTATCTTGGGTGGATAACCCTCCGGGGTTAAAAATCCGAGCGAAATCTTATCTTATCACTATGACATACAAAGTTTAGTGAAGGTATGTATATAAATAATATGTGTATATTATCATTGTGTTAGCATAGCATTATGTTGATTTTTTACACAAAAATTATGTAAATATTTACATGAACAGTTTATATAAACATTTGTTTATTAAACTTGACATAATTTTTTTTTCATGCACAGTGTGAATACTAAATGTAAATAATTGTTAATATGTTCTCTCGGTAAATGTCTTATAAATCGAAATATTTTTTTTAATTTTTCTCCTCCTTCTTCCCTATCTGTCTGTCTGTCTGTCTGTCTCTCTCTCTCTCTCTCTCTCTCTCCCTCTCTCTCTCTCTCTCTCTCTCTCTCTCTCTCTCTCTCTCTCTCTCTCTCTCACACACACACACACACAAGAGCCAGGAGCTGTGAATCGACCCCTGCAACCACAACTAGGTAAGTACACACACACAGACACACACACACACACACATGCACACACACACAGGAGCTGCGACTCGACCTCTGCAATCACAAACAGATGAGTACACTGGAGGATACCGGAGGACAGGAAGACTATGGGGGATATAACAGCATCGTACAAAATACTGAGAAGAACTAATAAGATGAATAGGGACAGAATGTTTGAGAAAGGGGAAACCAGGTACACGAAGGCATAGACGGATGATAAAGGTTCAGATGAGTCATAGGGATGTTAGGAGGTATCTTTTCAGCCTTAGAGTTGTCAAGAAGTGGAACACTCTGGACAGTGAAGTGGAAGAGGCAGGATCCACACACAGCTTGAAGAACAGAAAAGATAAGGCTCTTGAAGCTAGGACAGAGTGGGTCTATTAGCGATCAGAAAAAAGGCGGGACCAGTAACCGACTCGACCACAGCAACAACTTATAAGTTAGTACATAAGGGTGATACAGGTGAGTACACACACATACACACACCAATTAGAGCAGACATCAGCCATCTTATCCTGAGAGGAAAAAAAAAACACTAAATGTTTTGTAGGGAAGGGAGTATATCAGTTTATGTGAGTGGTGACCCCATGAATAGAAGAAAATTATTAATATACACTATTTTCTGAAGTAAGAGTAACGTATTTAATATATGAAGGATAAATATATGTAGCCGCCCAACATTACAGCTGTGTTTAAGGAACGCGGTCTAAGGACAGCTATGCTTGTGTATCTAAGGATAAGGAAAGCAACAGAGGGATAGACGGAATAACTAGGATTGAACATACTCTCGTAAGGCGTACTGAAAAATATGAGAATGACAAGCATAGGCCACTGAAAATAACATCTCCATATATTAAACATAAGAAAAAATCTTTAAAAAAGGTTAAGGACATCGAGGAACTGGAGGTTTAGAATATGTAGACCAATTAGCCTAACGTCCATTGTGGGAAAATTGATTAACTCAGCAATTGCCGAGGATATTCGTGGCCATCTTAAAAAGCATAAATTGACCAATGAATCTCAACAAGGTATTACAAAGCAGCGTTCGTGCCTCACAAGTTCACTAACCTTTATCATTAAAGTATTGATCAGTTAAATCATGGTAACGAATATGATATTATGTATATAGACTTCAGTAAGACTTTCGGTAAAGTTCTACATAGGAGACTGTTGAAAACAGAGGCACGCGGAATGGGTGAATTTTTTTTTCCCGAGTAGAGGTGTGGTTGACAGGCACAGAGAATTTGTATTAACGGGGAGAGAGCAGAGTGGAGAAGTGTCACAAGCGGTGTTCCACAGGGGTTAGTGCTGAGCCCGTTGTTGTTCACAATATACATAAATGACATATACAATGAATGAAAAGAAACATGAGACAGAATAAAGAATAGATAAGAAATTGTTAGTAGCAAATGTATAGAAGCCAACATTTAATAATAATAATACTTAGGAAAGATAACACACACACACACACACACACATACATAGTTTCGAAAACAACAACCAGCATAGTGTCAGAGATGGAAAAACCTTTCTCATAACCCTGCTAGAGCTCTAAGAGGCAAGAGAGAGAGAGAGAGAGAGAGAGAGAGAGAGAGAGAGACAGAGAGAGAGAGAGAGAGAGAGAGAGAGAGAGAGAGAGAGAGAGAGAGAGAGAGAGAGAGAGAGAGACAGAGAGAGAGAGAGAGAGAGAGAGAGAGAGAGAGAGAGAGAGAGAGACAGAGACTGGATGGACTACAAGATACTTTAACAAAAGCTAGAGGATAGGCAGGAATACTATGGAAGGCAGTTTAATTGATCAATAAATATTTAACAGACAGGAAGCAGGGACAGAGCAACCCCAGTAGTGGCCAGCGATGAGGTGGATCCACGAGCTGAAATCACAATAAGTTTGAATTTACAGAAAAAAAGAATTACTACCAAACATAATTTTCAAGCTAGTGTTGACGGTAAGAATGAAACTTGGAAATAGAAAACCTAGAAATAGAGAACCTAGAAATAGAGAACTTAGAAATAGAGAACCTAGAAAAGAGAAGCAGAGAAGAAATGTCGTTTGAGTTATGAAACTATTAATCTGATATCGATTTAGTGAACAATGTCAGAACCAATATGAGAGAAATAATTTTCAAACTTTTGTAAGACAGCAACAAAATTTTTGAAGACAGCAAAATATTTTTGAAAGAGAGAAGTATGTTGCGACACAAAGTTTCCAGGACTGGCTAGAAGGGCAGAACGAACCTTAACAAAGTACCGATTTAATCAAAAAGAAACAAACAAGAGGACTCCATAGCAATAGTGAGGATA